TGGTGGTGGGGTTGGCATGGGTGATAGGACTTGGTGGTGAAGTAGGTGTGGCAGGAGGGTGATGGGAGCATGCCCAGCAAGGCCACCTGGCAGTGCCCCTGAGTGGAGGGCACCAGTAAGTGGACTAGAATGGGGGTGGAGGGAGGGAGCCTTGTTGGCTTCAGTGTGTGGGAGGCCATTGCCCCCAGGAGAGGAGGTGACCGATGGTGCCTTCCCTTCTTGGCAGGTGCCAAGCTTAGAAACAGAGCTCCACACAAGCCTGGAAAGAATGCTCGTGGTAGTGGCAGGCAGTGACAGCACGGGTCTGTGTGCCTTGGGATCTCCTGGTCAGCTCTAGCAGCCCGTGAGCAGATCACCCCGAGAGGCTTCTCCACCCACTGGATGGAGCAGAGCCCATGCAGAGACCTGGATAAGGCAGGTTTAGGGCTGGATGCCTTTGAGAGAAGCTCATTTGACATTATGCCTCTCAGGCAGCATTTGCCCCACACCTTGGTTTTACATAAAACCCACATAGCCTTCCAGATCAACCACCGCCATGGGCCACGCACCGTCTTCTACCCCGACGGTGGGTAAGCAAAGTCATGGCCACAGAAGGCGGCTGAAATAAAATGTGTAATTGTGCTCCAAGACACCTTAATTGTTTATTAATTACTCCATAAATCATAGTGACACCTGTGTTTATGCTCCTGTTAATTCACTCTTGTGAGGGGAGGGATGGAAGCACACGACCAAAGAATAACTGTCCCCATAACTGTGGGACAGAGGTACCTGAAATGGGACAGGGACATCAAGGCTCTCGGTGCTTCTCCCTCACTGTCAGCCTCAACTGCATTTGCATCCACTTTTGGCCAAGACTGTAGTCCTGAAAGGGCTGCTGATAAAGAGTGCTAATAATTCTCATTAAAGGAGCCTTGATGGGGCAAGGTGGGGGAGGGGCTAAGCGCTCCACCTCCTCCATCCAGGAGCCAGTGAAGAGACAGGTTATTGTACTCATTTGACAAATGAGAAACTGAAACTCTGAGATTTTATCTGAGCCTCAGGGTCACACTGCCAGTTTCGTGGCCATGATGGAGTTTGAATTCGGGTTTGTCTGACTCCCAAGTGAGGTGGCCCTTGTGGGAGGGTGAGAGAACAGCCTTGGGAGGAGAAGGGAGCTTTCCTGTTAATCATCCCTGATACTTCATTTGTGTCTTGTGTGTTTATCCAAGGAAAGGCAAACTGTTTTCTAAATGATGATGGAAACAGCATTCATCCAGGTGTTTTGGCTGCAGTGCTCTGGTGCCCTGCCACTCAGACTGGCTATCGCTGGTGTCCCCCTCTAACTGACCTGACCTCCATCCCAGACAGTCACCAGCTCCTGTCCCTCGGAGCCCTTCTCTGCACACATCTGTCTGCAGCCATCAACGACTGAGCGCCTGGCCCTGGAGAGTGCGCCAGTGTTCCAGATGGTTAATAGAACTTTATTGCCACAATCATTCTTAATGCGGCCATTCCAAAGACCCTGTCTGGAAGGAGGCTCCGCTCCTGTGATGGGGCAGCAGTCCCGGCCTGCTGGAGGCTGGGCCGCTGCTGGCTAGCCCTCTCTCCCGGGCCTGATAGTGCACTTCCACAGATGCCATGAGATAGCTCTTTGGAAGACAAGTAATGCCATAAAACCTAGCTTGGGAGTAATCTTTTCCCCTGGGTTGAGATCAGGACTTTGAAGGGAGGAGGGAATGCTGTAGGCAGCAGCTGGGCTGGGGGAGGCCCTCTGCTCTGGGTCCTGAACATGGTGGAAGGTGGGGGAAGAAGGCAGGTAGGGAATGAGATGTCACCCCATCTTGTCCCCATCTGCCCTGACCATCCCTCAAGTCTCAGCTTTATTTTTATTATTTTTTTTTTTTTAATTTTTTTTTTTCAAACGTTTATTTATTTTTGGGACAGAGAGAGAGAGCATGAACGGGGGAGGGGCAGAGAGAGAGGGAGACACAGAATCGGAAACAGGCTCCAGGCTCTGAGCCATCAGCCCAGAGCCCGACGCGGGGCTCGAACTCACGGACCGCGAGATCGTGACCTGGCTGAAGTCAGATGCTTAACCGACTGCGCCACCCAGGCGCCCCTCAAGTCTCAGCTTTAAGAGACCTTCCCCAACCAGCCAATTTTGTATTCTCTCTCTTTCATAGCCTGTTATTTTCTTCTAAGTACTTTTCTCCATTTGTGATGATAAACTTACTCATGGGTCTATTTGTTTAATATCTCTCTCAGATACTGGTCTGTGCAGGGATGATGTCTATTTTGGTTAGCAATATACCAGGTGTCAGCACAATGCCTGGCACATAACAAGTACCCAATAAGTACTCACTGAATGAAAAAACAAATGAATATTATTAGTGAGTCATGGCCACTCTGTCCTCAAGAACAATTCTCTTAGGCTCTACTGATAGGGTGTCTCATGATGCGCTTGCTAGCAGGCGATTTAAGATTGGAAAGCAGGGGCGCCTGGGTGGCACAGTCGATTAAGAGGCCGACTTCAGCCAGGTCACGATCTCGCGGTCCGGGAGTTCGAGCCCCGCGTCGGGCTCTGGGCTGATGGCTCAGAGCCTGGAGCCTGTTTCCGATTCTGTGTCTCCCTCTCTCTCTGTCCCTCCCCCGTTCATGCTCTGTCTCTCTGTCCCAAAAATAAAATAAATAAATGTTGAAAAAAAAAAAAAAAGATTGGAAAGGAGAAGGAAGATCAGCAAGATGCCTCCAGAGGCCATTAGAGTAGTTAATTTCTGGGCGCTGAAGTCTGAGGGCATTGAACACATTGCACAATGAGGGAATGGATGAGAAAAGATTAGGACGACTAGAAGGAATGTCTTTGTGGGTGACAAAGCAAGTGAGTCTGTGGGAGAGAGAACTGCCAGTGCCTGCCACAAAAGGAGCAGGAATGTTTGAACACTACCCTATGTTCATGGGGTAGTTTCACCTCAGCAGAAAGTAGATCATTAAACTTCCCAACCCTCCTTCTCCTTCCTGTGCTCTGGACCAAGAGTCCCTTCTAATGGTTTGGTGTCTTTCAGCAGGGAGGCAGTTAGGGTACCACACCCACCTCTCTGGCCTCTAGGTGTGGTGGGACTGGAGGACATTATGGTCAGTGCCAAGGTATGGACAAAGGAAGCACTTAGCCTTGCAAGAGCCATCAGCCAAGCTACGCTTCCTCAAGAAAAGGAGCTTACAGGAAGTTTGGGGGGGGGGTGGGTAGAAAATGCCTTCATCCCCTGGACTATTCTTCTATTGGTGCCAGCTGGGCCCTTGGGCTGCCTGGCATTGGTGAGCAGGGCCTAGGACTGACAGGAGACCACTGGGAGTCCAGCAAACACAGCCAGGATGGCAGAGAAGCTACCCAGTATGCTGAGTGGCCTGCAGGGAAAGGCATGGTCAAGTTTGCTGGAATAGATCTATGGTATTCGGTCACCATGGAAGCAAGAAAGGCCTCATGAACAGGGATGGGGCTTGACCGGGACCTTGAGAGTAGCCTGGGTGATCAGAAGGACAGGGAAGAAGGGGAGCAGAGTGAGGAGAGGATGGAGGAGGGGGGAGATAGGGGCTCAGGGAAGTGGAGGCACAGAGAAGATCCATCAAGAGGAGGCCTGTCTGTGCCCAGGTTAGGACTGTGGGACGGACCGTGCATCCTGGAACCCAGACTCTGCAGTTCTCCCTGCAGGCTAGGAGCACAGGGCCACGGACATGAAGGCACAGAGATGATGTTGAGGACTGGGGGGTGTGAGCAAGTGGTGAGCCTTCAGCTGAGCAACCACACGCCCTGCTGAGAGAACTGGGAGTCATGAACCAAGGCCACAGACCGAGAATCCAGAACAAATCCTGTGGTGGAGTATTAGATACCCGGTTTGTTAACACACAGGAAAGATGTGATCATTTGAACACCACGGATTCTTTGAGCTTTGTCAAACCACCCTCATGTTTGGGTCAGAGCGAATAATGCAGTCTCCACATTGACAGGCCAGCCGAAGTGACCCCCCTGTGTGACCCTGTTATGAGCAAGGCAGAGACTTTGCAGTCACATATATCTGTGGTCAAGATGGTAAAATGCGTGCTGCACATAACTCTCTTACTGGGGGGGGGGGGCTCTACTGGTTGAAGTGGAGTGGGAGCAAAGTCAAGTGTGAGAACATAATCTATCATCTTAAATGGGTTCATTTTCTGAGAGTGAAAGGGGACTTGTGTCAGCTTGAGCTGGGTCCTCTGGGAAGCACGCACTGAGGAGGGGTCAGGAGGCAAATGTCTCACTGGGGGGTGGGGTAGGGTGAAACCTAAGAAATGAAGCAGAGGGGTTGGTGGGATTGGATGGGGGACTGTGGGATTTATGACGCAGACCTGCCCAAATTTCTGTCATTCTGGTGGGGAGCTCGCAGGAAAATGCTGACCATCAGAAGAGTCCTGTGTTGAGTGGAAAGAGCTGGGTCCTCATCCTACCACCCTCCTCAGTCACTGGCCAGAGTGCGGTTGGCTCAGAAGCTGAAGTGGTCCCGCAGGACATAACCATTCCAGACCATCAGGTAAGTGCTCCCTACAGGGGCCTGGCAAGTCCTCCCCTGAGTGGGCATCGTGAGTCTGCTACAGGGCACTGTTACCAATTATGCTGGGACAACAGGAGTAAACCAGGACCATGCCTCAAAAATCAGGACATCTGGCCACGGTATTTCCGGAGAACACTTATAGGATTCACTGTTTGATTCTATCTTATTCTATCATGGTCCCGTCCCATTAATTTTTTTTAACTAATTACTTGTCTGGAATGAAATAGCAAACCCTCACTGAGTGTTTATTTCTATGCCAGGCATGAGGTGAGCACCTTACATGAATTCATTATTTCTCCTATTAACCTCATGAGGTAGATACTATCATTATATACTTTATACTTAAATATTTATTGTAATAATATGCCCATATATAATATGTAACATATAATATATATAATTATATAATTATAACATCACCCGTTTTTACAGGTGAGGAAACTGATGCACAGGGAGGTTATATGGCTGGTTCAAGGTCATACACCCTGTAAGTCACAGAGCTGGGCTTTAAACAAAGAGGTTTGTTTGCTTCCAGGACTAGGACTTTTAAATACTTCATAGTTGTAGAATTTTGAGCTAGCAGAGAGTATAGAAGTCATCTTATTGAGATCTAGAGAAGTTATAGAGCTTCCCTACGGTTATGTAGAAGGTTAAGACTAGTGTCTTGCTTGCTGACTCCCAAGTCCAAGTCCAGGGCTTCTTCCCTGCTGCATGCCTCAGGCATGCTTATTGAATTTGCAGATAATAGAATGTTGGAAAGAAAAATTCTACAATTGAAAATACAAGAGCGATTCTAAGTGATTTTGACAGTCTAGAATGCGGGTTGAAACCAATAAGATGAAAGTTAATAGAGATATATGTAAGCTTTTATATTTAGGTTCAAAAGCACCAAGTGCACAAGTGTCTGGTGGGGAAGACTTTGTCTGCATGCAGTTTAACAGTAATGAGATCATCAGAGGTGACAGGAGGTGAGGATGAGGGGACACAATTTTAGGCTGCATTAATAACATGGCATTCAGATCACAGGAAATGAGGGTCCTCCCTGTGTACCCATTCACTCATATTTGGGAAGTGGAGTATTGAGCTTTCTTCTGGTCACCATGTTTTGATAGGGATGGACACAGTAGTGGGTTGAATTGTGTCCCCTCAGAAAATAGGCCCAAGTCCTAACCTCTAGTACTTATGATCTCACTTAGAAAAGAGTCTTTGCAGATGTAAGTAAGCTAAGAAACTTGGGATAAGATCATCCTGGATTTAAGGTGAGCTGTAAATCCAATGACTGGTGTCCTTTTAAGAGAGAGGAAAGGAAGATTTGAGAGGCAGAGAGACCAGGAAAGAAGGTTGTGTGAAGATAGGCAGAAATTGGGAGTTGTGTTGCCACGTCCAAGGAATACCAGGAGCCGCCGGAGGCTGGAAGAAGCAAGGAAGGATTCTTTCCTGGAGGAATCCATTCCTTTGGAGGGAGTGTGGCCTGGCAGACCCCCTTATTTTGGACTTCTGGCTTTTGCAACACTGAGAGAATAAATTTCTGTTAAGTCTTTCAATTTGCGGTAATTTGTTACAGCAGCTGTAGGAAACGAATATAGACACAAAGTCAAGAACCCCTAGAAAAGGGTGCCCTGAGGACAGGTCCTGTAATCTGTGGTGCATGAAGAGTGGTTGGAGGCCCTGTGTGGGATTAGGGCCGAGTGGCCATGTAACTGACACTGCTGCACTCTTGTCGTTGCCAGGGGTAGACTGGTGGGGCCACCTGCAGGCCGCTCTCAGAAACCCTACAGAGCCTGGGAGTCTGAGCTCAGGGCTGGCAGTACTACACCGGGAAGTATAATTAAGTCAGAGAAAGTTGTCATCGTCAACTTCCCCCAAAGTATCCTTTGATCCTTTCACTCTCCCATGCAAGGACCTTTAGTTTTGTCATCACCCCGAGTAGTGACAGAGCCCCCAAGGACTTGGCAGAGCACACTCAAGGGCTCTCTTGGAAACCCCACAAACACAAGAGGGTCCTTTGCAGGGGGCTGGAATTCCCAGGAAAGTGGGTGGGGCAAGTGCCTGGGGCTCTGGGATCGCCCTTTTTGAGTAATACCTTCTTAAAACTTTGTCTTAATCTGGCTTTAGGACACCATCTTACCCGGTTTGGGTGATTGGATTGGGTGATTGGATTGACTCAGTGAGATAGTGGACACACAGCGTAGGCAGAACTTTGGGGGAGGGTGGACAGGATGAGGTCAATTAGGGAAGTGTTGAGTTGGAGGCTGAAAACCTTTCTTACAGTTTGGAGCTCAAGACTAAGGGAGACTAGATGTGGTGAGTGTTACTAATATACAGGTGGTAGTTGAAGCTGATGGTCCAAGGACACTGGAAAGGGCCTTAGGAACCTCAAAGCTGAGTTTTATAGAGGAGCAGCATTGGTATTTCCTCATTAGAGAAGCAGAATCTTGGGCCCCACCCCAGGCCTGTCTAATTGCAGATTACATTTTAACAAGGCCCCCAGGGGATCCATTTGCACATTAAAGTCCAAGTAGCACTGCTCTGGGCCAGTGGTTCTTTTCCTCCTCTCTGAAAGCTCATTAGCATCCCCAGTCCCTGGGTTCTGACCAATTGAGAGTATAGTAGAATTACCTGCATAGCTAGTTAAAGCACAGGTTGTTGGGCCCCACCTCCAGAGGTTCTGATTCTGTAGACCTAGGGTAGGGCCTAAAATTCTGCATTTCTAACAACTTTCCAGCTGGTTCTGATGCTGCTGGTCCCCGGCCCACACTTTGAGACACACTCGCAGAGTGAGGTAAGGCTCGAAGAGGGTCCAGGATAGAATCCCAAGGGAAACCAATATTTAGAGGTCAGCAGAGGAAGAAAGAAAAGAGGAGGAGAGGTTTCCGATGCAGGAAGCAAGCCAGGAAAATGGGTTATCCCTAGTGGCTTTTCCACCACACTCTTTAGGCCTTGAGGATCGCCCTCATTCTGTTTCTGCCTTCCTGTTTGGTGAAGTCTAACAGCACTCCTTGGAACAACATGCACTACTTGGAAATTCTGTATGTGATCGTGTCATGTCCACCTTTCGGGCTGTCCCCTGCTTTAAGGAGAAAGCCCAAACTCCTTAGGTCAGCACACAAGGCCTTCTGAGCTCCTTCCCTCCTCTCTCCTGGGGCCCTTTGCTCCGGGCATCGCAACCTACTTGTCAATCTTCAGCTAATTTTGCCCTTTCATACTTCCCTGCATCTGTGATGTGTCTTCAGCCCTCCTCTGCCTCATCTCCCAGCTCCTACTCACAAGATTAGAATACCCTCTGAGAAGGAGTCTCTTTATTTATTTTATATCTCTTTCCACTCCACCCTTTGCCACCTCCAACTTCTGACTCAGTTCAAACATTACCTCCCTCCAAGCCTGCCCTGAATCCCGAGGCTAGGGTAAGCCCCTCCTGTGTTCTACTTTCTGTCATAATATTCATCACCTCACTTCACAGTAGTTGATTTAATTATCTGCCTCCCTCACTCTATGTGGGCTTTCTTTGAATAGAGAACTAGGTTTCATTTGATTTTTGCACCTCCAGCTCTGAGTACAATGCCTGGCACGGAGCACGCACCCGACTCTTGTTTGCTGAATGAAAAAATTCAGGAATCAGTGAGCGAATGGATATAAATGTCGACACATTTGAGAACCGAAGCCTCCTCCCTTGGGCCCACAATGTCTTCCTTAGGTCATCTGCTCCTTCCCCAGGAGGGAGACCAAAGACTCTCCTCTAGTCACTGTCCCACTGGAGAGCACAAGCCAGTCACCTCAACAGTACTGGCAGTAGATTGTTGATGTCTTCATTTCCCTGGCCAGCCGTGTGTCCACCTCTCTCCAGTACAAAACCACACAAACACATTCTCTCTTCAGTTTGCTAATTCCTGTCTTAGTAATGGAGAGCCAGCAAGGTGAAGGCAGAGGGTAGAAGTATCTCTTTCAGCCCCTGTGTGTATTCCTGGCTCCAAGGGACCAACCCAGACTTTAAGAGGGAAGCTTGGCTTTTTAACACCACCAGGTGGCCAAGAGTCATTAATCCCTGGACCCACAAGGCTCACAGCATGTGGTGGCTTGAGTCAGCTACTAACTGGGGAGCCTGCTGATGGGCTCTTCTATACATCCAGCAGAGGAGAGCACCTGGAGAAGGGCGGGGGAAAGGGGTCAGAAGTGAGCCCTCGGGAGGTTACATTGCTGCCACACTGCCAAATATATGCCCATCTTCACCACTGACACAGACACCTCTTTTCTGTTTAACGAGAGCTTTCATGCCTTCTCTTTCTCTTTCCTGGCAAGAAGCTCACAGGGAAGTAAGATGGGACCTGAGAGTCAAAGCATGGGTGGGACTTACCCAAAGTCCCGCAGTGTGTGAAGGTGCAGTTGGATTTGAACCCAGCCTGGTTTGCCTCCAGCCTCTTCACCCGCCTCAATATGCTGCATCTAAAATAATGTTAAAATATGTATAAACCATACAGGGTGAAGTGCAAATTATTCCTTCTGTGGAAGTGCAAAATAGCCAAGTGGTGACGGGAACTTGGCAGGGATGGAGTGGGATGAGTCAGGGACAGCTTTTTGAGGTAGGAGAGCTGTTCTGTGGGGCTGAGAGAGGGGGAGGCATGGCAGGCAGGGAGCAAGGGGGAGAGAATTCTAGTGGGAGAATCGCGGGCCTGAAGGGGGATAGCACACCATGTGGCCTTCCTGTAGTGGTGGGCTGTGGATGGAAGCATGAGACGGGGAGCAGAACAGAGCTGGAAAGGCCCTGTCCTCATGAAGGTGGTCCCCGAGCCCAGAGCCGTGTGCCTGTGTGCGTGTGCAAAAGCGGGGCATTGTTGTGTGTGAGGATGTGGTGTGTGTCCGTGTATGCATACGTGGGCTGTGGGTATATGTGGTGTTGGTGTGTAGGGGAGTATGCAGTGTGTTCAGGTGGGTACAAGGTGCATCAGAAAATTGCCAGTTGTGGGTTTCTAATATCCTGTCTTTTCTTACCTGTGGATAAGCACTGTCTACTCCACCCCCGCCAACAGCACACACACACTGCTCAGTATTAACCCTGTATTCCTTTAGTCTTAGATATGTAGGATTATGGAATTTATTTAACCGAGTTCTGTAAAAGTGGACATTTTTAGCACACACGTAACTCACAGGCATGGCTACGTTTAAGTACTCAGTGCTGTTGGGATGTGCCCTTTTGGTCTCTCAGCTCTACCACCCTTGCTGTTGGATCACATGCAGGTTCTGTCTATGTGGTGGTGGGTGGTGGGTCCTAGGAGGGGATGCCCAAGTCTATACTCTACCAGCTTGGGCCCGGCAGAAAGAGAACTTTTTACCTATAATTTAGATATAAAACCCAAAGTGAATCTCATTGGTTGGATTTGGGTCATGTGTTCATCTCTGAGCCAATCACTGTATCTTTGGGATAAAAACCTTTAATTGGCTGCTCAGGTCACATGACCATCTCTGAGTCAGGGGTGGGGTCAAGCACCCCTGAGAATGGACCGGTTCCAAGGACCTTTGGAATGTTGGTGCCAGAGGGGCCAGTGGATGTTGAACAGATACAGAACCTGTCTCTTCCTGTTGACTGAAAGTTTCTAATTTGTGTGAACTTGGTCGTGCCTCAGAGAGGAAACTGAACTTGTGTGTGTGTCAGGACCTGGGCCAAGGGCTGTCTGATATTATGTCTTTAATCTTCACAATCTCCTTGTAAGTTGGGTGCCAGTGAGCACAGAACTTACAGAGGAGGGCATGGTATTCAGAGGACTAAAAGGACTTGGTTGGATCACGCATCTGGAAGGTGACAAGGCTGGGGTAGAACTGCATACCTCTCGGGTCACTGCTTCCTGCCAATCATGCCCCACTTGAGGATGAACCTTGGGGTGAGAAGGAATCTTAGTATTGTGGCAATATTGTGAGCATCAGATTCAGGCTTCATTTCTAGAACCAGTTCTCTAACTTATTAGTTGAGTCCCAGTTTCCTATTCTGCAAAATGAGAATGATGAAGTCTGTCCTGCTGAGATCTCAGAATTATCCCATCAATCAAATGAGATAGAGGGCTTTGGATATTGTCAGGAGGTGAATACATGTAAAATGTAACCAAGGCTGGTTGTTAAATAGTGACACATTTCTGTGTTGGGTAGTAAACAGCTTCTGCCTCTGACCACCTTACCAATACTCTGGCTCCTCCCAGGGTCCTTGGGCTTGGAACTCTTGTGACCTCCCCATGATCCAGCAACCAAAGGGGCAATATCTGACTTCAGTCACAGAAGAGGAGGTCACCTAGAGAAATACTTGCAACTTCAGCTGCCCCCAACTCCCATCCCTTCTTATGGACCCAGAATGGCTATGTTAGCCCTCTTCTCCCCCTGGTGATCTGCCTTCTCCTTCCCGAACTCCCAATGTTCACCATGAAGTAGCCAGTCCTGGAGTGCGGGTGTGAAAGTAATGTCTCCTGCTGCTTTTATGGGTGCCCTGTGGGGTTCTGCACTTTCTTAACCTCCTCGAGGCTCCCTTGACAGGTTTTGGGTCACAGCT